CTTTACCCATATTAGTCTTCCTTTTCCTGCTGACACTGTTCAGAGATAAGACCAGCTGTGGCGGGCTGGCATCTGTGGTGTGGAAACACTTGCAGTGATGGCTGCACCGATGTGCCAGATTCTTTTCTTGGCTGTTGAAGGCTACTTGCTTCTACTCACTGGTAGACAGGGAATTTCCCTCCTACTCAGTTTAATACAGGAGCTCTGCTGAGACTCCTCTAGAGCGAGTGCTGCATGCTGGGATGGAGCCTGTGGACCACACGGAGGTAACTGGATTAGGTTGGAGGACTCCTGGTGTGTGAGTGCTGGCTAGCTCTGATGCTGTTTGAGGCCCTTTCCTCATCTGCTTTTAAGAAGGGACAGGAGGTTGATCAGCCCATGTTATCCTGGAGGTGGTTTTTATACTGTGAAGTCTGACCATCAGTGCCTAGTGATGCCAAGACCTTCTTTTGACACCACAGTGACTTAGGAACTTTATCATCTGTCACCTCATAGCTTGTGTACTGGAATTTGTATTTCCCTCCGGATCCTCTCCTTTCGATCCTTACTCTGTTTTCAGTTGTTCCTCACTTCAGTCCTGCCTGGCGTCCAGTTTAGTGGCAGTTCCTGGTGGTTGGGTAAAGTGGGTGAATCTGTTCTGCTCATCTCTGCCTTAGGAAAGGGGCAAAATGTGCGCTGGGGTTTTTTGTTTAGCACGTCAGTGCTCCTTGTTGTATCATCCAGCTGCATGACGAGTTGGCCAACTCGGAACTGGGAGTCCTGAGCTGCTGAGTGTGTTCTTTGAACATAATTCATTTGAATAAATGGTTCCTAACTGCTCCTGTGTAACTGTGTTTGTCAGTGGAAGCCTTTCTGCTCTGCTAAAACTTCCTTAAAGTGGTGCCTCAAGGTTCCTCAGTTTTGTATTTCTTTTCTTTCCACCTCAGTGTCTGCTTTTCTGGTGCAAAAAGATTGAAGGGAACAGACAAGAAGCAATGTGGGAATTCAACTTCAAGTTCAAAAAGCAGGTATGGAAGAAGAACCAGAATGGCTGTGAGTTGGTTTTGAAGCAGAAAGGAATTTTCTGGGTGGTAGAAAGGAAGGTGGAAACTTGTTATGTGCTCAGACACCAAATGGAAACTGACTCCCCTGGTAAATTAAAGCATGTTTTGAACTACCCTCAGTTTTCAAGCTGTATTTAGAATCTTAACTTTGCTATCCTTCTTTCACTTTAAGATGTGCATCATTTGTTATCCCAAATAATCTAGTCTTTGGGTCATTGATTATTACCCAAACCCAAAGACCGTTTGACTTCATTGCTCAAAATATAGACCAAAATCTGAACCATCTGGTTTTCCCATTGGAAAGATTGCCCAGAGAAGTGAAGAAATCCAACACTGCCCATGAAAATCTCCAGCTCCTGGGAGGAGCAAATACTTTCAGGCAACCTTGGGAATTCTGCAGCTTTCCCCTCTAAAGAAATGGTCCTGCAAATGAGATTGCCTGTCCTGAGTGATGGTGTTTTGTTGTTTAAGTCAAGCTCTGCCCCAGGGTATGGGAATGCACTGGGAACCTGTTAGCATGGGTGAGAGGCAGCCAAACTCTCGTCATAGCATCCTGCTTCACTAAATAAGTCTCTTTCTTTCAAGTCTCCCAGATTTAAGAGCAAGTGTTGCAAAGGTCTCCAGCCACCCATTCAGTATGAAGAAGTCCATACAAATCCAGATCAGGATTGCTGTCTACTGCAGATCACCACCTTCAACTTCATATTCGTGCCAATAGTCATGGGTATGACGTTTACCTTGGTAAGTGTTGGAGAAGGCTGCTCTGCAGACTTCGCAGGTGTAAGGAGATGCAGAGGACTCCTCGTTAGTGGTGTGTAAATGACGCTGGTGCATCAGTAAACCAGTTCTGGGAATCTTAATAATGAGAGGAAATGCTGAGGATCTCCTCATTTGAGCTTCTGCATTTCTGTCAGCTCTTCCCTATTTGGTGCAGCAGATAGAGATGATGTAGAGAATGAGCTGTAGTTGTGCAGCATCTGGGGGCAGGGTAGCTGCTAGTACTCCAGCAGGGTATGAGAGGAAGGGATGCAGGAGAAGAGGTCTTCCTTCCTCAAGAAAATACCACCTTACCTTATGGAGTAAAATCTGAGTGCAAAACCCTGTATGGCCAGACTCTTCCCATGTGTATATAGACTCACAGAATGATTCACAGACTGATTTGGGTTGGAAGGGACCTTAAAGCTCCTCCAGCTCCAACCCCTGCCACGGGCAGGGACCCCTTCCACTAGAGCAGCTTGCTCCAAGCCCCTGTGTCCAACCTGGCCTTCAACATTGCCAGGGATGGGGCAGCCACAGCTTCTCTGGGCACCCTGTGCCAGTGCCTCAGCACCCTCACAGGGAAGAGCTTCTGCCTAAGAGCTCATCTCAGTCTCCCCTCTGGCAGGTTAAAGCCATTCCCCTTGGCCTGTCCCTACATCCCTTGTCCCAAGCCCCTCTCCAGCTTTCCTGCAGCCCCTTTAGGCACTGGAGCTGCTCTCAGGTCTCCCCTTCAGGAGCCTTCTCTTGTCCAGGCTGCCCCAGCCCAGCTCTCTCAGCCTGGCTCCAGAGCAGAGCTGCTCCAGCCCTCGCAGCATCTTTGTGGCCTCCTGGCCTCGCTCCAACAGCTCCACGTCCCTCTGGTGCTGCTGCCCCAGAGCTGGATCAGGACTGCAGGGGGAGGTTCTCCCCAGAGCACAGCAGAGGGGGTGAATCCCTTCCCTTCCCTGCCCTGCTGCTTACACTCTGAGGGTGCAGCCCAGTCATGGTGAGCTTCTCATTGACCCAACACCCCTGTCAGGGACTAAGAGCAGGGCAGTGATTTCCAGATTTCTCTGTCAGCCACTTGCTTCCAGTTCACTTCTGGTAGTGGTCATATTTGGAGTTGCCAGCCAGAGAGAACTGGTTTGAATCCAGTGCTGTTGATTCAGAGCCTACTGTGAAGAACTCCATCTCTTTCATCTCCTGAGGCACCTCCTGCTCTCTTTTTCTTGCAGTTCACCATCAACGTGAGCACAGACATGAGGCATCATCGCGTGCGCCTGGTGTTCCAGGACGCTCCGGTTCGCAACGGCAGGAAGCCGCGCCTGGAGCAGGGAGTGCAGGTTGTGCTGGACCCCGTGCACAGCGTGCGGCTCCTGGATTGGTGGCACCCACAGTACCCCTTCTCTCCAAAAGCTTAGTGCTCCCTGGGCCTCAGAGCCGGCGGGTGCCTCCCTCTCAACAGGCTGAAGAGTATGTCAAGGAAGCAGGAAATCCTTTTTATTTCTTAAATAAATTCTGCAGTCTTCTTGCAAGTGGTTGAAGCAGCTGCGCTGGTCTGTATGTATAGAACTTCTGGTCAGTGATGGGCAGAGCTGAGTGTAAAGCAGAAACTCTTTGTAAACACACTTTTATGTAAAATTCCAATTTTATGATTTGAAAGGCGCTCCCTGGAACTGTTCATTTAAAATCCTTTTGGTGCTAATGGCCGTGGTCCTGTTTTCTGTTGTTTGGGAAGAAACAGGAGGTTTTTGCTTTCCAGCTTGAATACGACCAGAAATGATGTGCAAAGCAAACCCAGGTTGGTTTTCCTGCAGCAGGATGGTGTTCCAACACAGCATGGTCTCTGGGTGCCTGGAAGCAGCAGGGATCCAGTAATTCATAGTCCAGCAGATCTGAGTTTAAGGAAAGAATAAATGATCAGACAAAGGACTTCTTTCAAGGAGGAGATGTAAGGCAAAAGTCTTACTTGCATGTAAAGGTACTCCCAGGGGCTCACACTGCTGCTTCCTCTTTGAGAAGATCTAAAGCTTTAACCCCAGAAGGTGCTTTTCAGAGAAGATAAACCGAGGGAGGGAGAGGAGATGGAGGGGAGAAATGAAACTGCAGCAGTGATGAAGGACTCTTGTCTTTCCTGAGAGCAGGCTGGAGGTGTAGTTGAGGGGGGTGCACATCCTGCTGCTGCAGATGGGGTCTTATGGAGGAGCAGTGGCAGGCAGAGGACGAAGCGCAGTGTGCATGAGCCACAGAAGCAATAGGAACCCTGGGCTGGGATTTGCTGCCTGCTCATCACTAGCTCCTCAGTCCTGCTCCTCATCAGATGTTGCCTCAAGCAGGAGTCACTGAGTGGTTTCCCATGTATGTTTAGTGATGCTTCTGGAAGGAGGGAGTTCTCCATCCCAGTTTGAAGTTAGCATACAAATACCCCATGATTCTGCATAGATGCCCATGAGGAGTTCCTTCCACGTGTCTCTGCCACTCTGTAAGTCACCAGCTGAGGACCCAAACTTGGATCTACATTCAAGGCTCTGGCATGTTGACTTCAAACATACTTGGGAAAACTCTGCCCTCACTTCCCCTTTTCACTGCTGCTGAACTTGTGTTGGTGCCGCCAGGGAAGGTTTTGGAACAAGATTAGTTGAAGTAGAGATAAGGGCAATAAAAGTGTGCTGTGACTCTGATAACAAAGCTGGTTCCCATGATAGCAAGAGCCTGGCCTGAGCTGTGCTTGCCTTTGTGGTACAGGAGAGGAAGGGCAGCAGGTTAGTGCTGGAGCTGCGTGGAGGCTGCAGCTGAGGTGCTCCATGTGGGTGCTGCGTGGGAGGAAGCTGCTCCAGAGCACGGGGTGAGTAACAGTCATGTTCCTGTGGTGGGGTTAAATACTGCTGAGCTTTGTGACAAGTGCTCAGGGCTCACAGGGTGGAGTTTCTCCACTGCTGCTTAGTGGGTGAAGCAGCATCAGCTGCACAGTTGCCTGTTGTCTTGGCCCCGGGGGCTCTTTTTGGGTGGTGTAGGCTCTCCTGGGGAGGTGTCTGTCAATCAGAGCCTGTTTCCTGCAGAATCCAAGGTGCTTTAAAGTGCCTTTGAAGGTGTTTTCCTCTACAGACCCTGAAACCTGTTTTGCAGGAAGATGAGCACCATGTGCCTGGTGATCACTGCTTGGGCTGTGCGCAAGACATGGGTACAGAGGGTGAAGGCAGAGCTGTTTGCTTCCCTGGGTACAGAGGGTGAAGGCAGAGGTGTTTGCCTCCCAGCCAGGGCTGAGCAGGAGGATGGAGCAGGCTGGTGGCCATCAGCTCTGCCCTGTGCCTTGCTCTTGCTCTGGTGAAGAAATCCAGAGCAAATCCTGGGGCTGTGCGTTTGTGAGATGTGTGAGAGCAGGAATGTTCACATCAGGCCTAGGGCATGGCCAGGATGTGCCCCATGCTCTGGGGCAGAGGTGCTCCAGCAGCACCAGCTCCATATGGTGGCTGGTGGCTCCCAGCCCCACCACTCCCTGGGCAGGTCTGGGTGGTGCAAGTGGAGCAGGAAGCTGGTGAGTGGGATGTTTCCTGCTGGGTTCGATTAAGGCCATTTAGCTACAGAGGTGCCTCTGCCCTGAAGCCTTTCTCCAGCCTGAAATGTATAAAATGAAGAATGATGATGTGACCTTTTTCTTTGCAAGCAGCAAACCTTGTGATGGCCCTGGAGCTGGAGGCGTGCCGAGCACAGGCAGGGATTGGGAGCTCCTGTGGTCCATGTGAGGAGGCCAGCGAGGCGGCAGGGATGCTGCAGAGGTTGGGCTCTGCTTGCTGCAGGGCATCATGTTTCCCCTTCCTCCCTTCCCTGGAGCATGGGAACCCCACGTTGAGGTTTGCTCACTGATGTGGGTGACTCCTGGCTGGAGCTCAGCCCAAGCAGGGGGTCCCACCCTCTGTTCCCCAAGCCCAGGCTCTCTTCCAGGCTGTTCAGTGTTCCCCAGGGCTGGGGTGCAGTGAGGCTCTGGTGCAACTGCTCTCCATGGTCCCTGCCAGGGCTCCAGGCAGGAGCTGCTGCTCTTTGCTGTATCACAATCACTCTTTCCCATAGGATGCAACTCAAAAGGGTCCTCGTGGTGTGGAAATGGAGCCGTGCTGCTCTCCCTGCTGTGTGGGGCCCTGGTTTACTTCTGCTTTGTCCTGCTCAGGCTCCTGAATAATGGAAGGGCTGTAAGCAGATCCGGCCCAGCTCTCCGGTTTCCCCAGGGGAATCATGGAAGCTTGGATCCCCAGCCTCCCCCTGCCCCTCTCCTTGCTAGGGATCCAGTGTAGGGCAGGGCTGTGGGTAAGGTGGTTGGTACCTGCTGTGATTCCCTTGTCCCACCCCAGTGCTCACTCCAGCCCCAGATGGGGGGACCCAAGACCCCATCGTGGTAGGCAAAAGGGGCTGTGTCGTGGCTGTGGATTCCTTTCTCACTATGGGCAGGTTTGTGGAGAGCCTCATGTGCCTGGAGAGGGGCAAATCCTGTCTTGAGATGGCCCATGAGGACCCCAGGGGGATTCTGCTGTACCTCGTGTCAGTGGGGTGTGCTCCCCAAAGGGCAGGGTCTGCAGCGGGGCTGCCAGCTGCGCCCATAGGTCCCATGGGGACCCCAGGCTGCGTTGGGCACCGTGGCTCCAACCCTCCCCTTCCTTCCTGCATGGGTGGGAAGCACTGAGCCCTGGTTCCTGCAGCTGCTGCCGGTCCTTGTCACATCCCTCCCTGAGCCCCACATCCCATCCTTGCCATGTGCAGTCACTGCTGGGGTGTTTCCCAACTCCCTTGGTTGTCCTGGTGTCACTCAGCCCTTGTCTGGGTGCAGATACAGGCCTTGGTGTCCCCATTGAGCTCCCGGGACCCCACGGGCACAGAGCCACCGGCATCCCGTGCTGGGAATTTAAGGATTTAAACATCAAGCACCGTGAGAACAGGGAAAGCCAGTGGATCTGGGAGCCTGCGGATGCCTTTCCCTCTCCTTCCCAACGCCATTACCTGCTTCCTGTTGTACCTTATCTCTCTGCAGCCACCTTTGTCCTTGCAGGTTTGTTTGAGCCGGGCAGTTCCATCTGAGCCCACAGCGAGCAGCCGGGGCTGGAGGGTGTCCCAGGGTAGAAGACAAAGCCTGGGAAGAGACACTGGGGCCCTTCTGAAGGTAGGAGAGCTCCAGGCCAGGGAACGGGCTCCACACTCCGTGTGGGTAAACGGGGAGGATGGGGTGGAGGCAAGGGAAAGGTTTTCCTCTCTGGATGCTGTGGGTGAGTTGTGTTGGAGGGAGCGGAGGAGCTGGTGGGTAACTGACTCATGGGTGCTCCAGGGCTGTGTTCCCACTGCGGGTCCAGAGGAGGGAAGTGATTGAGAGAAATGAGGCTTGGAGGGTGGAGGAGCGGGGGACAAACGGCCATGGGAAGGGCTCACATTGGCTGGTGGAGCTGGAAGGGGCTCTGTCCTCAGCCAGGGCTGCGATGCCCGATGCTCCAGCGAGGAGCTGGGATGCCCAGGTCCCCATGAGGGATGCTGCCAGCTCTGGGGGCTGCAGTTCTCTGCTCCTGTCACCTCAGCACAAGGGCTGGAAAGGAGATGGGGGCAGAAAGACCCCACAGCTCCTTGTCACCGGGCTCCCGGCGTGTTCCCACCCCGGTGCCGCCCAAGGGGCAGGTTTCCACCGGACCCTGGGGGGGTTCTGATGCTGGCAGCGGGTGGCTGGGTACAGCCGGTGCCGTCGCAGGGGGAGGCTGAGGCTGCCCCATCCCTCCCGCAGCGGGGCCCGGGACCCTTGGCCCCATCGCACCCGGGTCCCCCCCATCCCTGCGCGGGGCAGCGGCCGCTCCGGACGCTCCTCCTCTGCGGGAGGCCGGCGAGGGCCCGGGGTGGGGCTTTGCCGAGCGAGGAGCCGGAGCGTGGCCGCGCACCCCGTGAGTCTGCGCTGCCCCGGGGGGGTGCGGGAGGGACGGGACCCGGAGAGGCGCTGGGATGGGGCTGCCCCGGGAGGGCTGCGGGGCTGGGGGTCCCCACGCTGTCAGCTCCGGGACCGGCTCACAGCCGAGTGTCCAAGCAGAGCCCACCCTGTGCTGCGGGGCTGGAGGAGACCTGGGTTGACCTAAAAGCTTTGGAGCCCTGCGCTACTGAGATGGGGCTTTTCCCCCTCCTTCCTCCCTGTGGAGCCGTGGGTGAGCAACGCGATGTGGTGCCCATCAGGCTCCAGCCAGCTGTGGTGTCTGGTGCTGGGTTACATCCTGCCCCCGGGTGCGGGTGATCTGGTTGTGATGCACAACCTTCTCCCGTGCCTGTTTCCTCCAGCATGGAAAAGGTGCTTTGGCAGCGGGACACTGAGCGCTGGTTGTTCCCCTCCTCCCCATGCGAGAGCCCTGCTCTGCCCAGTGCTGGAGGAAGCAGCTGGAGCCGCCTGTACACAGGGAGCATCCGGCCCTTTCTCAGGCCTCGTGGGACCGAGGTTGTGTATTTACTCCTTCCCCTTCCCCTCGCTGCTGGACTGAATCACAGCCACTGCGTCACACAGCACTGTGAGGCCGGGAGTCTCCCACTGAACTGGAGGAGTTTGACTGGGGGGCTCTCGGCAGCTCTTGTCCACCAGCACCATGTCCCCCAGAAGCAGGGGGAACAGCCCCACTGAGGTGTGGAGCTGTGGGGAAGGTGCGTGAGGTGCTGGGGCAGGAGCAAGGACATGGATGCTGCAGCCCAGGGATGGGGCTGTGGCCCCTGGTTGTGCCCAACTGACTGCGCTGCTTTGTTTCTCTATGGGCCTGTAGGGACAGGCCAAGGGGAATGGCTTTAACCTGCCAGAGGGGAGACTGAGATGAGCTCTGAGGCAGAAGCTCTTCCCTGGGAGGGTGCTGAGGCGCTGGCACAGGGTGCCCAGAGAAGCTGTGGCTGCCCCATCCCTGGCAGTGTTCAAGGGCAGGTTGGACACAGGGGCTTGGAGCAAGCTGCTCTATGGAAGGGGTCCCTGCCCGTGGCAGGGGTTGGAGCTGGAGGAGCTTTAAGGTCCCTTCCAACATAAAATTGCTCTGGGATTGCATGATGTGAGGAGCGGCCCTGGGTGAAGCCCAGCCCTGGTTCAGGAGAGCTTTCCCCATGGTTTATGGCATGGCTTGGAAGGACTTTTCCTCCACGTTTGCACTCAAAGGTACTTGGACCTGACAGGCTGATGTGCTCTGAGCACCCAGCTGGGGTTGCCCTGCTCACTCCGTCTCCAGTTCCTCCTCTTCCAGCTCATATTTATAATGGAAAAACCCCAGGCGAGCACAGGAGCCAAGCCCCTGCTGCAGGGCAAAACACCTCAAGGGCTGTGTGGCTTCCTTGAAGGCGGCTCCCCCACGGTGGGGACGGGTTCCTTGCCCAGCCAGGACAAGGGGGCAGCAGGGGGGGCTGCGGGAGCTGCTTTGTCCTTGCGCTGCAGGAAGAGCCTTTCCCAGGGCTCCGTGCCAGGTCCCGAGGTCTCGGTGAGCGCTCCCGAGGGCCGCCCTGACCCCAAAACCCTTCCCCGCTGTGTGCGGTGCCTGCGTTTCCCTTGCCTCCAGCTCCGGGTGCTGTGTGGGTGCTGCGGGGTGCGTTTTGTACCTGGCTGTGTTGGGGTGTGTTCCCCCCCCCACTGCCCGCTCAGCAGGGATGGTGCAGGACGGTACCAACTGTGCCCTATGGCTGCCGCTGGGATCACCCCTGGGGTGCACCCAGGAGCTGTCCCCCTGCCCCATGAGCCCTGGCCTGATGCGCCCTTTCCTCGCGCAGGTCTCGGTGTGTCCGGTGCTATGCGATGCTCCCTGAAGCGCTCCCTCTCGGCTGCGCTCGCAGCCTCCTTCCTCCTCCTCCTCTTCCTCTACGGGGGCAGCCGGCAGGAACAGGATCCCCCAGAGGTGAGTCCCACACCAGTGATGTCCCACGGCCGCATCCTCCATCCCCGCCTGCCCCACACGGACCCCAACCTCTGCTCCCTGCTTTGCACCCCATCAACCCCACCCCAGCTCTGCCTTCTCCTCTCCCTGGTGTTGCTCAGGGCAGGACAGGGGCTCCCCTGTTGTCACTGCCCCGTGCTCACGGGTGTCTGTGGTACTCTGGGCTCTGACCTGGCTGCCTGCGGCTCCCACCCAGGTGGAGCTCGGGGCCTTGGCCCCAGACGCGGTCCTGCAGCTGCTGCAGCCGGAAGGAGCCCAGCGCATCCTCAGGGACACGGGCGGCCTCTCTGCACTCCACAACGTCTCCTACCACCTCCTGGCTGGCTCCCTGTCACCCCACAAAAGTGAGTGTCCCCGGGACCCCCAGCACGGACCTGCCCCATCGCTGCTGCCGCTGGGCAGGGGCGGCCCTGCTCCAGCCTGTTTGGAGGGGGCACACCTGCCCATACCTCCCCAGCCAACCTTTGCTGCTCTCTTTGTCAAGACGGAGGGGCAGAGGAAGGTCCGTGTGCTCCAAGCATGGCCCCTGCTCCTGCACATTGGGGCTGGGGTGACTGCAGGCGTTTGCATTTCCCAGGTCTCTGCTGGGACAGTGGCTGAGATCCCCTCTCCCTGGGCTGAGCTCCAGTCAGGAAGGTGGAGGTGGTGGGACTGAACCGTGGGGATAATCATGCAGTGTGGGAGATGTTGATCGAGCTCTTTGGTGCATGAGAAGCATTTCCCATGCAGACACCTTGGGGCAGACCCACATGAGCCTGGGCTGAACCCAGAGGCCCAGTATGGGCCAGGGGCTGCACAGAGGAGCTGCAGGGAAGCTGTGGGGAGGGAAGGGGTGATCTCATCCTGGTGAGGCCGTATCCATGAGTTTTGGAGTTGGGTAGGGATGTGCAGCCGTTCCACGAAGCCATCCCTCCCCGCACGCTGCCTCTGCTCCTCCCCACCTTTGCCTTTTGTAAAGGTGTTTTCCCCCAAATATTTCCTCTTCAGAGGAGCCCTGGTTTCTCATCCTGTGCCCTCCCTGCCATTTGGGTGCCTCCCAAGATGCTGGAGGCTTCAGCTTCAGAAAGGACCTACCAGCCTTGACCTGGGGCCATTGTGGGTTGGGCATGGAGAGGGCTTTTTGGAGCCCCCTCGCCGTGGCACATCCCAGGTCCATCCCCAGCCTGCCAAAGCCCTTCCTTTGCCTTGCAGAATTCCTGGCGGTGGGATTGGCATCGGTGCAGCGGCCGCGTGGCTACTACCTCCCGGCCACGCTCCAGTCCCTCTTCAAGCAGTCGACAGAGGAGGAGCTGCAGGAGATGGTGGTGGTGGTGCACTTGGCTGACGCCGACCCCACGTGGAACGTGCGTGTGGCCGCCAACATCGCCACCAGGTTTGCTCAGCACATCCTCCTGGGCCGGCTCCTGCTCATCCACGCTCCCCACGAGTTCTACCCCACCCTGGAGGGCCTCAAGAGGAACTTCAATGACCCGGAGGAGCGGGTGAGGTTCAGGTCCAAGCAGAACGTGGACTACGCTTTCCTGCTCGCCTTCGCCGCCAACCTCTCCTCCTACTACCTGATGATCGAGGATGATGTGTGGTGCGCCAAGTCCTTCCTGATGGCCATCCGCAAGGCTCTGGCTTCCCAGGAGGGCTCCAACTGGGCCACGCTGGAGTTCTCCAAGCTGGGCTACATCGGGAAGCTCTACCGCTCCAGTGACCTTCCTCGCCTGGCTCGCTTCCTCCTCCTCTTCTACCAGGAGATGCCCTGTGACTGGCTGCTGGTGCACTTCCGCCTCCTGCTCACCCAGAAGGATGCTATCCGCTTCAAGCCCTCCCTCTTCCAACATATGGGCCTCTACTCCTCCTTCCAGGGCACCGTCAACAGGCTGGAGGACGATGACTTCCAGGCTGATGCCATGGACCTGCCGGACAACCCTCCAGCGGCCTTGTTCACCACCATGTCTGTCTTTGAGAACTACGAGCCCCTCAAGGCCTACAGCACCGCCGAGGGGTACTTCTGGGGGAAGGACCCAGCAGCCGGCAGCACCTTCTCCATCGTGTTCCAGCAGCCGGTCCGTGTCACCCGTGTCCGGGTGCGCACCGGCTCTGCCGAGCGCCGGGGGGACATCCTGCGCGCCGGGGTGCTGGAGCTGGGCCGGCGGCGCCGCGACGATGGCCGGGACTGCTCTGCCTACACCATGGTGGGCATCTTCGAGAAGGGGAGCTGTGAGCGGCGGGGGCTGGAGAAGGGCGTCCCAGGGCCTGTGGAGTGTGTTAGGATCCGGGTGACCCGGGACCAGAGCGAGTGGCTCATCATCCAGAGCATCGAGATCTGGACCGCGGCGGGCAGCTGACCGTGGAGGAGGCAGGTTACAAACGTTGGTGCAGTTTGTACTCAGAGGTTCCTTGGTTTCCCTGCTCCCTTTTTTTTGGATGAGGAATTAAATTATTGGCTCCTGCTGGCGCCTGTGTCCGGAGGGATGTGGGATGGGAGCAGGAGCAGGGCCCCCAGGCTGAGCCTGGGTGCAGGGTGAGGGGAGCAGGAGCTCCATGAGGAAGGATGGGGTAGGGGACAAAGGCAATCATCTGATGAAGAAGCCACAGCTAACCAGGCAGTGGCACCTCCTGCAGCCTCTCCACACCATCCCCTCCCCACCTGAGTTTTCTACCCCACCAACCACCTGCAGCTTTTCCTCTCTTATCCCATTTTCCAGCTGTTCCCGGGGGGTTCAGGGATACTGCTCAGCAAACCCTTCACCCTCCAGGATCAGGGGCCTAGGGCAAGAACCCGGCCACTGGTGGTCACCCATGTCCCAGTGGTGGTCAGGGGGCACCAGCCACCAGATGGACCCATCGCACCAGTACAACAGCTCCCATCCAGCCCCAGTCCTGCTGTTCAGACCCTTCCAATAGACTTTTCCCTCTTGGAGGAGGGAAACCAGGAACCACCCTGTGTCCACAAGGGATTCACACCGAGAAAGAAGGACAGAGAAAATGTGGCTTTCTTAAGGGAGAGAAAGGTCCAACCATTGAGCCCATGGAACAAGGACGTGTAAAGCAAAACGTGACCCCAGTATGATGTGAAGCTGGAGCAGCCACTCAGTGCTGGAGCCCCAGCCCTGCTGGGATGGGACCTTTCCCTGAAAAACCAGCCAGCCAGGTAACAGAGTTTTGTCTGCATTTAATACAGAGATGCTACATGATGATCTCCAGCACCTTCCTGACATTGTCAATGTTCTCAGTGGGACCAATATACACACGGCAGAATCACTTCAGTTTCTTCCACACAGCCCAGGTCCACTCAGAGCTTGTGGGAGTGCCTGGAGCAGTACAAGTGTTCCCTTCCCAGGGCCCCAAGACCCAGAGGAGTGTTTACAGTGCTCCTGCAGAGACTTTGCTCAGGACACGAGTGCTCCTGACCATGCTGTGAGAGCATCAAGGGTTACCAGTGTGGGTGCAATGAAAAGCCTTCTCCCCAGTATGTTTTTATCCCTTGCTAAAGCAGGAAAAAAAAACCATGTAAATCAACCTTTTACCTGTTGGTCTCTTTCTTGTGAAGGTACTCACCAGTGCTGTGATCACCTCCTATGCAGAAGCAAGCTGCAGTCTCAGTTATGCTGGTGTAAATCTGGACACACTCCACTGAAGAGAGTGGAAATGCCCTCTGTTTACACCAGGGTAAGCAGCTGACCCCAGGCAGGGAACCCCCTCCTCTTCCTTCCAGTACAACACACTCATCTCAGCACCAGGACGCCCAGTTAACACTGGTGCAAACTGGAAGAGGAGGAGGAGGCTTCTTTGTCCTGGAGAAGTGCCACATAACTTATCCCACATAAAAATTAGCCCACTATCTTTATCCCAGGAAGACTCAGCTGGGTTCCAACACTGTATGGAGACCTCTGTCTCCAACACAGGGGTGGGATGATGGAGACTGGAGCTGCAGTGTCTGCTCGAGTCAGCCTATGCATCCAACCATGTACATGCAGCCACGATGAGCACAGACCTCAGCCAGGCAAGGGGTCAGGAGCCTCTGGGCTGAGGGGTGAAGGGCAAAGGGACAAAACCATTTTGGTCTGTTGCTCTCCATGAAGATGGTAAATCAGAGAGGGTTAAAGCTTTCAACCACCACAGGGTCCTGGAGGATGACCTGCTGTCCGTCTCGAACAGCGGAACAGCCCTGGCTCTTGGGGAGTGGTGCTCAGCAAAGATCTAGCTCAGCATCTTGTGGCGGTCAAAAACTGTCTTCCTCTGCTCCTGCACTTGGCGCTTCCAGCGCTGCTGGGCCCCCTCCACCCTCTCCAGCACCGTGTTGGCTCTGGCCCCAGATGGGGTGAGGGCTGCAGCCGAGGAGCGAGCATCCTGCAAGGGAAGGAAACAATGAAGGAGACCAAGGCATGGGCAGTCCCAGCACAGGAGGTTGCTGGAGTGGGGCCAGAGAAGGGCAATGGAGCTGGTGAAGGGCCTGGAGCACAAGAAACATGCACCAGCAGCACAGCCTCACCTCATTCTCCTCCTCATTGTGCAGGGGCTGGGTATAAGCATCTGGCTTCCGGATCAGAGGGTCCACCAGCACAAGGAAAGCCATGTACAGCAGCAATGCTCCCACCACAGACAAGTAAATGATGATGATCACCTGCAGTCAAAGACAGCAGAGAGGAAAAGAATCAGTATGTAGGTGAGAAGCAGCACAGAGGCCAAGAAGCTCCTTTCACAGCTGCCTCGGATGCTGGGTCTCCTCTCTCATTCTGATTTTGCTCACTAGAAAGTCCCCTGCATTTGCAGCAAGTGCTGATGAGACACAAGTGCCACAATGTGCTGCTCCTCCCTGCACTGTGCCAGTTCAGGACACGTGCTGCATGTGAAAGGAGCCCAACAGGACGTGCCCCTGCTCAGAGGTGCTTGTCACTGTCACACATCCTCAGCAAGAAACCCTTGCTCCCGTGCAGCCTGCTCCTCCCTGCCAGGAGCCCTCCTGGCTCGCACATGGTGCCCCTGGCACTACCACCATGGTTTTATTTCCCCTTCCTGGGCTCTTCTCCAGGCACCCACCAGTGTGGCTGTGCCTGGGCTGGCGTGGCATGGCAGGGAGAAGGAGCCAGCCACAGGGAGCAGAGCCATGATTACCTTGATGGTGGTGGTGCTGCGCTCCTCGTACTTGCACTCACACAGGAGGCAGTAGGCCTCCACATCATTCCCTGGCACTGGCATTGGCTCCACAACATGCAGGCAGTTGCTGCAACACAGAGAACCCAAAATCAGCAGCAGGCCAAGCTGAAAGCAATGCTCTGGGGGAGCACACTGGGGTGACTTTGCCTGTGTCCCAGCTTTCCCATCAGGCTGAAAACACAGATCCGGGTTTGAGTTCCCTTCACAGCTCAGCTAATTCCTGGCACAGACTGTCCAAATGCCTTCTGCAGGGATCTGGTCCTGGTGAAAGGAACAGGAGGGTACACCCTGTATCTGCTGAGAGCTGTGCCTTAAGGAATCACACCCCCAGATTCCTCAGTCTCTGTTCAAAAAGCACTCCTTGCCTGGGCTGAACATCCCCTACCAACAAAACCAGCTTCCCCTGCAAATAGAAGGCAGGGAATCACTTCCCCAGCACCAGCTGGACACTCGGGAGCATTGGTTTTCATGGACTGAACCCACACCAACTCACCAGTCCTTCTGTGACACATTCTTGTTGTAAATGTGCCCGCTGATGTTCCGGTACGGGGGGCAGATGCACTTGCAGCGGATGTCCTCTGAGCTCTGCACAACACGAGGAGGTGGTGTCAGTGAGGTGCGGGGCCATTTCTGTGCCCTCAGCACCCGGCCGGTGGGAGAAGGCAAAACGTTCTCCAAGAGGACCTCACACCACGTCTCTTCTTCCTGCACTGCTGCCTTCACGTCAAGAACTCCACAGTTAACCCGCCTGCCCAGGCACCAAGTACTTTTCATACACATTATAAAGTGCAAGCTCCAAAACCCAGCAGAAGGCACAGCAGAGGCCACTGCCATCAAGAACACACCTCAGCCCTCCCTGTCTTTGTGAAACCCTGCTGCTTCTCCGCTGCTTTTGCTCCTGTCGCACTGCCTGCACGGGTCAGGGTGTGTCTGAAGCAGGTCACTCACCTTGCTGCCTAGCGCCGGAGGAGGAAGTATGCAGCAGAGCAGCACCAGCAGCAGCACGGAGCTCGCACACCTGGGGCTGCACTGGGCAAACATCATGGAAGCCTGAGGAAACAGAAAGTCACATCCAGGACAGAGGATCTCAACTGAACGCAGCCGTAAAGAGTTAACTGGAGCTTTCTTTTTGTGCTCCCCTTTGCCTAGGAGGTAGAAATATATCCCTGAATCAAGGCAATGATGTCAGTGAGAAAACTCCCGGAAACACTTTACACAGATGCCAAGAAACACTCCCATTGAATAAGCTTCCACCTTCTAGAGCCACACATCCCAACTACAGCAGTCCTGCAGCAAGTACTGCTGACCCCCTTACACAGTGACTTCTGCAAGTCCCCAGCACCCTATTGTGGTATTTTGCATATGCAAAATGCACAGATAAGGCTGTTCAGAGATGTGTGTTCTGAATTCAAAGGAATATGAGCCCGTTTCCTTTGCCACAATAGCAGACTTAGTCTCCACAAGGCTGCAGCCCCATGCATGAGGGCAGCACAAAAGGCAGCTGTCCCCAAGGTGGCATCAATCCTGGTGCGCTGAAAAGCCAACTCATCACAGCTTTACTCAGGGAAGGTAATAAACACCTTCATTAATCAGCTCTGTAGGGCACGGGTAATCCCACAGCTCACTCCAGGCTATTTTCTACTGGCTCGCATGATTCCATGAGTGTTTCCATCACTGGAATATTCCACCACTGTTTGCTATACTCCTGTCAACATCAAAAATGATTATTATGGATTGGAAACACCAAGTTCCCTTTCTTCTTTAGACAAAACACCAGCCACCTGTAACAAGCTGATCTGCCAAACCCCATCAAAATGCATTCCAGCCGTATCAGCTTATCACAGGGTTTCTTAACCCTCTGCACCCCAGTCAGAACCATAGGATCATAGAATAGTTAGGGCTGGAAAGGACCTGAAGATCATCCAGTTCCAACACCCCTGCCATGGCCAGGGACACCTCACACTAAACCATGGCACCCAAGGCTCTGTCCAACCTGGCCTTGAACACTGCCAGGGATGGAGCATTCACAACCTCCCTGGGCAACCCATTCAGTGCCTCAGCACCCTCACAGTAAAGAACTTCCTCCTTAGATCCAATCTAAACTTCCCCTGTTTCAGTTTGAACCCGTCACCCCTTATCCTGTCACTGCAGTATCTAATGAAGAGTCCCTCCCCAGCATCCTTGTAGCCCCCTTCAGACACTGGAAGCTGCTCTGAGGTCTCCATGCAGCTTCTCTTCTCCAGGCTGAACAGCCCCAACTTCCTCAGCCTGTCTCCATACAGGAGGTGCTCCAGCCC